TTAAACAATAAACATGAGGGCTTGAATCCACCTCCACCTTTATATAGGTAAGTAGTATAGGTAAGTAAATAGAAGAAGAAACAATGGGATACTATTTCTGTCCATTCCTTAATGAGGCAGAAGCTATCCATTTTATTTTATGACAATTCAATGCAAAACTGAAAAACACCACTGAGAACAGGACCAGGAGCCAGAACCCAGAAAATGTGTGAGGGGTTGTCATGATTACATTTTTCAGAATATAAATGGAAATGAGTTTTAAACCTAAAATTAAAAGAATGACCCTTAAACAAATATTTTTCTGTTCAATAATACATGGGTATGTCTTTAGTACAACTTGAACTAATTTTAGTAAAATTTGTGGTTGTTTTTTTAGAAAAAAAAATACAGCCAAAGATTGTGTACTTACTCTGTCTCCTTTAGGACCTGCGGGGCCGTGTGGACCAATTGGGCCATCTATACCCTAAAAGATCCAACAAATAAGAGATGAAAAACAAATGCCCTGAAAAATCTTATCTGGTCTTAACAGGCTTTATTTGAGCAGGTTTATTCTAGCCAGGAAGCAGTTCATCTCCCACTGATTGAAAATCTAGGCCTAATTGTAATGGGAACTGGGCATACAGATCCATTAAGGGTTTTTGAAAATTCAGCCTATAAACTCCTAAGTTATGATGTAATCCATCTTTCATTTAATTTGATACTTTATTGCTTTAAGTCAGCAGATTTTAGAGGTATTAAAATGTAGAGAGAAATTTTGCATGGTAGAAACTGAAGGGTTAAACAAGAGAATTTATGTAGAGAATTGTGTGGGTTGCACATCAGAGGCGAAAGCAATGAATTATAAGGCTTAATGAGCTATGTTGTTCTCATTTTCTCCTCTCATTGTTCATCATTATAAAGGCCAAAGAAAACATTTATTTTAAATATCAAAAGGATCAAGACAGAACCCTAGCCGTTTTGCACCAGCCTCACTGACACAGAATTAGTCTAACTGAGGCCTCAGTTCACATTGGGAAGCCTAATTTTACTCAGTAAAATAAGGAATATCCAAACCATTCTTTTTCTTTTCTTTCTTTTTGATGTTTCAGGATTTGCAAATAATTGCCAAGCAATGGCTGCCATTGCTGAAGACAGGAGGAAAAGTACAAGCAAAAGAAAGGGAAAGGAAGCTAGACACATGCTTCATGCAAATAATAGCTCTGCCTACATGAGTCCTGAGAGCTAGTCTCAGTGAAACAGCTAAAATTCCAAGGCAAACCAAGAATGAACAATACATTTAGAAACAAGATGAATAGGCTTAAATACACTGAGACATGTCTACATCTATATAGACCTTTGGGAACAGCACAAAACTAGACAATACCAATCAGTCATTCCAAAATGCACTCATGGCCCCAGCTAGAGAACATGTCTGGGCCACCAATAACCTGTTCTATGCCTTCCTCCTGATTCTGCAAAGAAGCTGCCTGGGAGGTTTTGTCTCATTCTCTGTAAGTAGATGGTGCTACCTGAAACTGTTAACACCAAGTGCTGGGCGGTGGTTAAATAACCTAGCAACCTCTAGGGTGCCAATGGCTTTGTGCAGAAGAGCACCTTAGAGAGGGGTACTGGTCTTACCCCTGGTAGTGGAAATGCCACCAAAGTTGTGGAACTGAAGTATACTCCATGACAGGGTAGATTGGGCTCTTTAACTTTGTTGGCAGCCAGTCTAGGAGTGAAGCCCCAATAAGCAAGCAAATGGATGATCTCCTTTGCTCCAGCAGCTCCTGCAGCCAAGACAGTTCCTAACATATTGGCAATTGCCTTTTCTTCGGATTAAACCAGCAAGGCTGAGGGCAGCGACATTGGTGCAGTGCGTGGGCAGCTTAGTGTCTCCATAGACACTGCCCAGGCTTTTGTGCCTTGGAGAAGTCACTCCAGCTTCACTTTATTTTTAAGAGTGGTTTATGTTCAGTGAGCTGATATCACACACAGTGTAATTCTATTGTCTCACGAGACAGATGCTTGCTACTACTTCTACTGTAAAATGGTATACGTAAACTAAGCAAATCAGGCTGTTGAGAAGCACATAGACTTGATAACAGAGTATGACACAGGAACACAAGGGACTCACCCGGGGTCCTGGCTTCCCATCTAAGCCAGATGCTCCCTGTGTGATTAGGTGGAAGCACGGATGACAGGTATAACACGAATGACAAGAATGTGAGATTAGTAAGTGGTGTTGATGAATAAACATAATTTAAACACACAATACAAACTGTGACACGATTCTGGAATGGGTATCACATTACTACAGTATGTTAGTTAAAAAATTACATACAACATTAAGAGCCTGATTCTATTCTCATGCCTATTAATTCTACATTTGTATAACACCAGTGAGCTGGATTCAATCCTGATTTGCAGTGGCATACTTTAGATCAGAATGAGGCTCTAGATATATTAGTGCTACAAATGCCAGACATTACAGTGTGCTTCAACACACAAAAACAGATTTGTAAATTGACTAGAGAAGGTTAAAAAATCATGACAATATGATTACTGTATTTTGCACCCAAGTTAAAAACATGTTTTAACATCTATAGAAGAGTTTAATGCAGAAAATTGCATTACGTCAGCAAAGAAATCTGGGCCCTAACAACAATGGTCTTATTCATTTCTAAGAGCCTGGGAGATAACAAATTCTTGTTTCTTCAGCTTGTTACAATTTTAGCATATAATCATTAACCTAATTCCAGGGTGGAGGTGCATATGACACACACCGCTTTAGGCTGTTCAGTTTTATATCCTTGGGGGTTGAGTGACCCCTGGTGGATTTTATGTGAATAACTTTAGTACAGTGCAATAACAACTTTACTATAGTGTAATATAAACTATAATATCTAGCGTTTGCTGGATTATCAGAGAGACATTGGCAATACCATTGGCAAAAATTCTGGAGACTAGTAAATGGGTCAAAAATGCATTTTTGGAAGGGGAAAACCAGAGCTATCTCCAAATTTAAAATATGTTTGGGGAATAATTTTGACTGAAAAAAGGAAACAATTTTGAAAAGTCAAAATGTTTCATTTTGATATTTTCAGAACAATAAATTTTGACTTTTGATTTGAACTAGTATTTTCCTTTTATCTTTATAAAGGGGCAAGAAAGGTCTGAACAACCATAAAACAAAATAAAAAGTTTCATTTTTGGTCAAATTAAACAGTTTGGGCAACACCAAAAATTTCCTCCCATTTTTCAGTGCAGACATGGAACTGAAAAATCCTTGTTCACATTGCTCTAACAGCTAGCTTCAATAAGATGAACTACAACCTTTTTGATGAAGGTGATCTTCCTCAGAGTCTCCCTGCATGTCTTTTAAAAATTTGGACCAGATTTGATCATTTCAAATGCTTTTGTCCTCCCTGCTGCTTGGAAAGACACACACCAAAAATAAGGGAAATAAACTGGCTATCAAGTAGAAACTATCTGAAACTACCTTTTGAAAAAGTACTGTCAAATTCATAACCAGACTAAAAAATAATGCACATTTTTCTCTGTTCACATATAGTTCTAACAATTTTGGGTGTTTCTTGTTAACAACATTTTCAGATAGACATGTGATCTTTAAAGCTTTGGTTTCCTTTTATTATAAATTATATCAATCACCCATAATGAGGACTAGCTGAGCAGTACAAGGCAAAAGTAAAAAATCTATTATCCATGAATGAATGAGGAATATTTGAAAATAGTAAGCCAATTCCAAATGTATTTACTTAAATTGTAGTCAATCAAACCTCTGCTTTATTACTGCAGTTGTTCAAACTGTGGAAGACTGAGGAGACATCAATATTAAAAGAACTAAGTTGTTCCAGAAAACTATTTTTAAATAAAACATGAAAAGATTCATATCACAACATGATTAATGTAATGGGGATCACAGCATCCTCGTGACATTAAAGACTATCAACTAACAAACGACAAAAAGAAAGTGACAGCACTGTGTGTTACTTTGGACACTAGCACAAACTCTGGGTAAAACACAACTGATGTTCTGCACCAATATGGTTTTTATAAATGCTGCTGAGTAAACCAGAGTTGTTGGTTGAAAGTAGAAAGAGACGTTTGTGATTTGCATTGAAATTGAATAGTTTTGTTCTTTTTACTTACTGGAAGACCCAGGGGCCCTCTGTCACCCTTTTGACCTGGTTCACCCTTCAATCCTTTAAGACCATTCAACCCTGGTTCACCCTAAACATAAAAGTATAAATGCCAAATTTTTGGTGCTATAATGGGTGTTTAAACTGGGACACAAGACAGCCAGTCTCAGAAATGGCTACAAATTCCAGTTTGAAACAACAAAGAAGGTCTGTTCACTGTAAGCTGCTCACCATTTGCAGACTACTGGCAGTTTACATAGAGATACTGTACTGGCCTGTACAGAAGTATTCAGTAGATAACCAATGATAATTTTAAGTACAACTGTATGTTAAAAATACAGGAGACTCCCCTGGGTAATAGACTCCTGAATGATTTCTAAACAATTACTATAATATTTGGATGACTTGGGCTCAACTGTTGTTTCCCTCCTACAGTTTTTTGACTTGCCTAAGAGTCTGCACATTATTATCCTAGGCTGTTAATTCAATATAGGAAAACTTTAGTTAGAGGAGGGGAGATGAAAAACTCCATTTTGTTCACATCAGTGATAACTGCAATAAGATCTGATGAAAGGTGCTTTTTGTGTGGAAGCACCCTTTTTCCCCCCTTATGGCAAACTGGAATTTACAGCCAATTCTTATGTAAAGATATTTTTAAACCTTTAAACAGCATCATTAAACAGAAAATTAAGAGAAGCAGTGTATTGTGCTGAGACAATGTAGGTTTGAGGCCCAGGATTCACTGATCTTAGAAAAAAGGTGTTCATACAGGAACAAAAAGCACCGGTTTTTTTTGTGATGATTAAATTACACAGATGTCATTGTACTAAAAATTGTAGAAAAAATAACAGCGGACTGGTGATCATTGTGGAAGCGTTCTCATATTATGTAGCTTTACCATGCCCCAGGGTTCTGCAGGCAAGCCAGGATACTAAACTTTCATGCTCTCCATGCTCTCTGCTCTCCAGCTTTCCCTGGACACCCTCCCCCACCTACATCTACATCGACAATACCCCAAATATAATCTGTTCAATTGGCTCCAAATACCTTCTGCCTCCTATACCTAAATAATTTTTGAATTCCTCCTCTATTCAAATCTATGTCATTTTCAGAGCGGTAGCCAAAAAAACCCTGTTCTTTTGGAACAGGCTGAGTAATCCTGCCTAACTCTCTAGCTAAAATGCTGATAAAAGGCAAGTCTACTGATAAGATGGAACCGATTTTATATAACTATTCATCATTCAAATACCCAATGCCAAAGTATGGATGATATAGTTAAATTAGGGCTCAAAAATGCTTAAAAACGAATACTTCTACAGATATTTCTTCATTGTTCCTCATTCAAAGAATTTGTAAAAATCCAGTTCATTTTTCTGAGAAAGTTGAATATTAATGTGGAAATGCTGCTTTATTATTCCTACAGTGTCATGTTGAATTTGCAATGATCATTTATTAAATAAAACATAAAAACAAATTAAAACAATGTTAACCCCTCCAAAGCCATCCAAATGACTTATTCCTTAGGGATTTTGCAGGGGGCAGTGTGTGCATTCTATGCCAGCGATGAGGGACTATTTTCAGCAAGGCTGAGATGGCCTTTGGCCTGCAGTGGGACTTCCGATAGGAACATGTATAAGATAGGAGGGGAGATGGCAACAAATGAAACTTGAGCAGAGTGAGAGGGAACTGGCGTGTGAGAACTAGGCAGAAAGCAAAAGGGAACTTGTATTAGGAGTAGGAGATGAGACTGAGTGCAGGGAA